GCCACAGCATTCTATTACATTTGCATCCATTTTATGTGTGTCTGATTCTATGCAAGGTGAATTAGTTATTGAGGTACTGCAATGACCACATTTATAATATAATGTGTCCCCCAAATTGTGGTATGGTTTTAAGTTATAATAGCTTTAATAGCTTAAAATTACACTAAGATTTTTTGCATGTGAAGAAGAGAGGATAGGGAGAGTGAAAAGGGGTGGGGGAGCATAAGGTTTCCTAAGTGCTATAGTTTGGTTTTCTCTCTTGATTATAATATCATTTTAATGTCATTATAGTAGAGCCTTCACAAAAGTCGTGTCCTCATGTTATGTCATGTCATGGAAGTGACCCTGAGCTATACTATATATATTGTACATAGGTTTACCTGTACCAATAGAGCTCTGTGTGCCATTCCAGTGACAGACTGTGTCTGTTTTCTGAGGACCCTCTAAGTTTGGTCAGGCTAATTACCAGTAGGATGGCCACTAGGTGAGGATGAAGCCATGGTAACCTATTAAATGAGGAAAGAGACAAAATGGCCCTTACTTCTTTATGGCTTTTTTTTTTTTTTTTTTGGTTCTGGCAGCAATAGCAGCAAAGGGGGGGGAGGGGTGAGAAGAAAGATGATCTGAGAATCACAAAGTTTTTAAACCATCCATCCACACTGTCAGCACATCCTAAATATGAGATCCATGCCCAATGACAATTAGGTTGATGTGCCAGGTGAGGAACTGAATCTTATCAATATTAACATTCTTATTACAAATGAAAACAGAAGATTCCCAGCTAAGTGGAAGGAGGACCCACAGGTTTTCCTTGGAGAGGCACATGAAGGGGTCAGGAGAATTGTTTTTGCTATGTTTCCAAAGAAAATCATTTTATCATCATTTTATGGGACCTGTAAAAATAATCTACACAACTATGAAGATTATCTTTTATGAAGGTTATAAGAAGGAAATAGGAAGACTTTTGCAAGTTATATTCTCCACTAGGCCAGATCTTTACAGTCATGTAGTTGAAAGAAATGTGCTTATTGTGTGTTGACATTAGAAAAGCATTTGTTTTGCTAAAGCACAATGACACCTAAAAGCCTTATATTAATATCTTGAAAGATTATCTGAAAGACACAACAATGAAAATGACCTTGTTCAATGACCTGATTATTATTATCAAGTAAGGCATCAAACAGGAAGAAGTGTGCCCTCCAAAGATGTTTGCCGCTGTTATGGAGGGAGATTCAGAATAAAGGTCAAGTTAAAGAGGGGTTTCCTCTGTAGTGAAGTCCTCCAAATGTTTCTGTTTGCAGATAACATTATTTTGATTTTGAAACCTTGAAATGTTGTAGAGCATCCTAAATCAGATTCATAACCACTCAAAAGAGTTCAGAATCAATATCCACACAGATAAAAACTAAGCAAATGAATAGTTATTATACATATCCAACTTGTACTTGGATAGATATCCCATAGAAGTGTTCCACGATAGCTGATAAATATTGAACAAAATGGTCTCAGAGTTGAGTGAGATCATGGGACTATATGTGGGAAATTGCTTCTCTCTGAAACCAAAAAGCAACTTTTTAATACCAATATTCTTCTAGTGGGGTATGTATCTGCAAATCATAGTATACCACAGTCTTTGAAAAATAAAAATGGCAGACCACCCAAAGGAAAATGGAGAGACACATAAGTAGACTACAGCATATTATGTTACCAATGAGGATGTATGTAAAAGGTAACATAAAATCTATCATCAAAAAGATGTATGACTGAAAAAGGAGGTATGCTAGTAATGAAGTGAGGGTGAGAAATAATGGATGGCCAGTGTTATGTACTGCATTGGTACTAACTTAAATTCAGGAGAAATAGGAGACCAATCACACATTGGATAGACCTTCTCTGGATAAATTATGAGAGGACATGGATAAGAATCACACATGATGAGTTGCCATCTGTATACAGTAGTGAAATTACATGTCTCCTGGAGTAAGAAGTTATCTACCCAACATGGTACAGCATTAAAGTGAAATTCTAGCATAGTGTCTACCACATAGTAAAAGCTTGATAAATATGAGCTAAGTGACTAATAATATAGGCAAAGTTTAGAGGAAATATGATTTTTAGTCATATCATGGTCCAACATATTGTGAGATAAAAGAAGAAAGAATTGAGAGACAATGTGGTGCAGTGGAAAGACTATTCAACTTGGAGCGTGGGACTTGGTGTCATTGAAATTGAGTTCAAATCCTGACTCTGCCATTTACTACCTTGGGCATGTCACATAACATCTCAAGGCCTCATCTGTAAAATGATGAGACTGGACTAGATAACCTATAAAATTCTTTCCAGGGGGCAGCTAGGTGGCACAGTGGATAGAGCTCCAGCCTTGGAGTCAGGGGGACCTGAGTTCTAATCCGGCCTCAGACACTTGATACTTCCTAGCTGTGTGATCCTGGGCAAGTCACTTAACCCTTATTACCTCACCAAAAAGCAAAAAAAAAAAAAATCCCTTCTAGCTCTAGTTATATTGCATAATGAAATGAATTCCAAGATTAGAGATTGAAACTAGAATATTAAATTAGTTATCCAGAACTTCAAGATTTTAAATTAATTAAATTAAAGTTAAATATTAAAGCCTTTAGATTGCAGTATATTTCTAGTTTTCTGCTATCTTCATAGGTGGCTGTGAATGGAAAGCATCTATTGCTCTACAAACACAGAATTGAACCAGAGAAAATAGATACCCTGGGAATTTATGGCAAAGTACAGATTGTGTCAATTGGGTTTCGAAGTAACTTGGTAAGTACCCCCTGGTAGCTTCACGTTCTTTTAGAATTGCTTTTCTAATAATACTGTTCACCTTTAGAAACCAGGATCTTGTAGTGTAGGAATTCTTTACCAAGTGTCCATGAACCTGGGTTTTGGGGTTGTTGTTTTTTTAAGGGAGATAGATAAGTAGGTAGATAGAGGAAGAGATAGCTAGATAACTACATTTCAGTATACATAATTGATTTCCTTGGCGTAATTCACTGTATTTTATTTCATGCATTTATAAACATTAATCTGAGAAGGGGTCCAAAGGCTTCACCAGGCTGTCAAAGTGGTCTACGACAAAAAAGGGTTAAGAACCCTTCATCTTCTAGTGAGATTGAGCTAGTGCTGATCAGGAAATATCTCCATGAGTATGTTGCTTACCTTCTGGGGAGTTAATTAACTCCTTCAGCTTCCCAGAAGACCACTTAATAAACCTGGTTTTATTTGGGCCTTTATAATGTGTACTATCTCAGACCTGGAATTTTTTATTTTTTGAGGTGAGCTCAGGAATTTATACTTAGCCATCCCTGATCCCACTAGCCAAATGATCTGTCCTTCCTCAGATTTTTCATATATTATTCTGTCTGAATCTCCTTGGCCTTTATCACATTCTTTTATTATACTCATTTGTGTATAAGTTATATACCTCTTTTCTCCACCCAACCCCGACTAGATTGGAAGCTCTTTTAGGGAAGGTACTGTGTGTGATTTTTCATCTTTGCATCTTTAGCACTTAGCACAGTGCTTTGTATACAGCAGACAGTTAATAAATGTTTGTTGAATTCAGTTAGCCAACTTAGGGTCATATGGATTTGGCCTTCTATTTTTAACTTCATCACTGTGGTACTTACTATTGCCACCCAAAGGTGAGGAATCCATTCCAGGGAGAATGTCAGCGGTAAGACCAAACCCAAGACCTTTTTTTTCCTTACTTCCATTTCAGTTTCATAGATGGAGGAAGCTCAAAATATTTTAAAATGTCTCTCTTGGAGTTACTTTAAAGTACAGATAAATGGCTATCTCTTGTCCTCTTTTATTGTTCTGGGAGGAAAAAAAATCACTGTTTGACGTCAACTAATGAATTACATTTATACTTTAAGACTATGTAATTCCTTAAGCAGACCATAATAAGAAAGAATGTTTTGAAGTGTCAGAAAATTTAATTTTTAATCTGTTCTTTAGTCTTTACAAGGAACCCAAGCAACTTCTTCAGGAATGTTGAAGACAACTTCAGGAAATGTAAGTAGGAAAAAATCATCATGGTGGTCAAAGTTCTTTGGGTCACTTTGTAAATAAGATAACTAAGATGCAGGGCATTTATTTTTGTAATTGTATCTCAAATATGAGACCACAAGAGGCAAATGAATAAAAATGGAGAGAAACACTTTGTATTTCTAGAGTTCCAGGTTCAGGCAGAAGCTTAGGCTAGTAATGAAAGGATCATCTTTCATAGGAAAATATAACTCTTTCACAACTATTAGGAAACACATTACATCAGCTACTTAAAGTTAGAACACTGGCCAGATGAAGTTATCAGATTAACAGCTACAATAATAATAATAATAGGTGACATTTATCCAACTCTTTCAGGGTGCAGACGTTATCTCATTTACAATCCGTAACATCCCAGAAGAGATTTAATGTACCTAAACAGCTGGAGACAGTTTGAGCACAAACATCTTAGGGTTGTTTATGTACCCAAAGTAAGGGTCTTGTTGACTTCAGCACATGTATATGTCATGAACAGTGGTATGATTCTGAGCACTGTCTGGGTAGGTAGAAATAGGAATAAAAAAAGTATTAAGTACTTATGACATGCCAGGGATAGCAATCTATAAAGTTCACATATAATTCTGTGAGAAAATATTATAACATGATGACATATAAAAGACCAAGAAAAGCCATCCTCTGAATACTAAATTATCATTTAAAATGACTAGCTTATTATATTCTGGATACATCTTAAATTTATATCACTTGCACAAAACATGTGACATGAGGATTCAAGATATTGCAACCTTCTCCAGTCACATGTTAGTAGAAACGATTACAGGATCAGACTTTACCCAGATCCTAAAACAGAATCCTTTCCTGTTGTCCTTATTCACGTTATTTCTTTCTCTTCTAGCAGATGCAAACATCTGAGGTGTCACAATTTGTAAGTATTTTTTACTTTTAGATGAATGGCAAAATTATTTATACAGTGGATTAGAAATCAGTTAATGCATTTGGCAAATTGACTTAACTCTATTTTACTTCAGAAATGAAGTAAATGAATGGTTGATAACAGTAGCAGCCGCAGCAGCAGCACAAAGAGCCATATTCACCATGAATGTTCCAGGGTCAAATGTCAATTTATAATCCTTGCTTATCTATCATACATTTGTTTACCTCTCTGCCACTGAAATATTGTTTACCAATACTGATTCAATGGGATAAAGGTAAAAAAAAAGTTCTATGTTTTTTATAATAAATCATACACATCTCTTACTGCATTAGAAGGTAAATGCAACCATTTCCCATTTATTTGCGGCATATAAACTTCAAAGCTATCATTACATCAAGTTTTTAAAAATATACAGGGGAATAGTTAGCACTGAAAGAAATCATGTACATTTCCTAATGCACTTCCCCATTGAGAAGTCTGCAGTGTTATGCAGAATGTTGTTGTTCAGTTGTTTCAGTCGTGTCTGACTCTTCATGACCTCATTTGGGTTTTTCTTGGCAAAGATACTAAAGTGCTTTGCCATTTCCTTCTCTAGCTCATTTTTATAGAGGAAGAACTGAAGCAATCAGGTTTAAGTGACTTGCTGAGAGTCACATAGCTTACAGAATGCTGAATTGAGACAACCAGTCTAAGCAGTTCAGTTTGTGTCAGTTTCAGGTCATGGAGCTGATAATCTGGGGGCACCAGTGATGCCCCCTAAATGCAGAAATATGACTGGTTCATTTTGCCCATGTGTAACCTGCCTTCTCTAGCTCATACAGATCTGCTGAAGATGGTTCTTTTTTTTTCCAGACACTTCCTTATATTGCAAGATTGAACTCTGCTCTGAGCTGTGGACGAACCATTGTCATTAGAGGAGAAGTGAAGAAAAATCCAAAGGGGTGGGTAACACTAAACCAGCATTCCTAGAATATTGTAACTTTTTTGCTCAGATAACAGTTTAAAGCAGAGTAGTGCATTGCATTCCCATCAATATGTATATTTCCTCCAACAATACTGCCTTGAGTGGGGGAAAATCACTACTCATCCATGCCAACTCACACTATGTGGTCATACTTTCCCAATATTGTGTGTATACCAACAAATGTTTATTAAACCTTATTTGGGTCTAGAACTTGGAAGAGATGTCAGGGTTGGAGAAGGAGATTTGGGAATCATCTTCATGGAGGATGTAGGTGTGAATGAAATTATATAGAGAAGGGAGAGAAGAGGACCCAGAACTTGTTGGAACACCCACCGGAGAGGGACTATATTTAGCCAGGGTAGATGTTATCTCCTTTTCACATGATGAGATTGAAGCACAAAGAAATTAAGTAATTTACCCAAGATCACACAGCCAGACAATGGCAAAGCCAGGAACTAGAACTTGGATCCTAGCCTAGAGAACATGAAATGGACACTGTACAAAGAATCAGAGATTTAGGTTCTAATCTGACTCAGGTACTAACTAGGCTTTGTGACTTTGGACGAGTCACCTTTCAAAAATAGGTAGGAGGAAAGGGCAACTAAGTGGCACAGTGGATAGAGCACTGGCCCTGGAGTCAGGAGGACCTGAGTTCAAATTCAGCCTCAGACACTTACTAGATATATGACCCTGGGCAAGTCACTTAACCCTGATTGCCTCCAAAAAATTTAGGTAGGAGGTCATTATAGTAGTTCAGATTTGAAAAGGAAACTAGGGTGGCTGAGGTGAGAATGTAGAAGAGAGGCTGGATGTGAGAGAAATTGCTGCAGTAGGATCTATAGGATTTAGCAACTGACTGGCTGTAGAGAGGTGAGGGAGAATGCAGAATCAAAGGTGACTCTAAGTGATGAGCCCAGGAAGCCAGCAGGATTTTGCTGGTGCCATCAACAGGAATTAAGGGGTTGGGTTTTAGAGAGAAGAAGGAGTTTGGTTTGGAACTCAGTTAGTTAGAGGCTTGTGTAGAACACAATGTTAGGACCTAGTTCCATCCTACACCAAGGCCCGTGTATCAAAACTGCCTTCTTAAAACATCTAGCATATAATGTGGAGATAGTTTTACATGGTTTCATATGTAAAATGGGGCACTGTATTTCTTGCCTTCTCAGTGGGTAGGGGAGGAGATGGGGGAGGGAAGGAGAGAATTGGGAACTAAAAATAAAAAATGTTTAAATTAAAAAATAAAATTTTTAAGAAATCTGGCATATACTGACACCTTCCACTATTTATTGATTTGGGCTTTTTTTCTTTGTGTGCTTTTAGAAACTTTAGTATTGACCTAATAGCATCCAGTACAAAGGACATAGCACTGCATTTGAATCCCCGGCTAAGTGCTAAAGCATTTGTAAGAAATTCTTTTCTCTGTGAGAGTTGGGGAGAAGAAGAAAGAAGTATTACACACTTTCCATTCAGCCCAGGGATGTATTTTGAGGTAAGACAATCAGGTAAATGGAATGGTGGGTAGAGCAACTATTCACAACAGGCTCCATTTAAATTGATGTTTGGGGGCTCAGTTAACTAGGAGTAAGGGGGAATCTGTTTTCAATGCTCTTAATATACAAAGATAGCCAGTTGGGTGACTCATTAGAATTCATTCAACAACATCAAAATTTATGTCCTTGAAAGTAGGTATCACAAATTACCTAGGTAGCACGATACTAGTGAATGGTGATTTTAAATGCACAAGTGATGTCAAGAATTAGAAAAGCCATCAGGATATTGAATTTACAAACAGAAAGATACAAAAGTTATTATTAGTACATACCATTAGGCAACATAGGAGATTATGCTAAAGGACTTGCATAGTTTGAATTAGTAGCCCCTTCCCTCGAAATGCTTACAATCCATCAAAAATAAATTGAATAGAATATATATCTGTAAACTACATATAGTTTCAAAATTATGTAAATTAGCTCCAGTGTATGCTGTGAAGTTGAATTCAAATGCATGCAATAGAATAAGGAAATAGAAGAATACACCCAGAAAAGCTCACCCCACGATGACAAAAGAGCATCAAGAAACTAAATCCACCAAGGAAGAAAAAGTTAAAAAGGAATATTCAAAAGATGCCAAACAAGAAAAGCTAGCTAACAAGGGGGAAAAGTCAAAATCGACTAATGAGAAAAGTAAGCCAGCTGGTGCAAAGTCAGAAAAAAGAAAAAGAAAAGCTGAAGAAAAGGGTGTAGATAAAGACCATGAGATTTTGTCATTGAAAAACTCTAAACCATAAGTTGCCGAAATGATGAAGCCATCACCAAAGCACAAAATTGAGTCAGATGTAAACAAGAGAAAAAAAGGAAATAGAAGAAGCTGGGTATATCATGGATGATATCCTGGAAGACATAGATTTTAAGTTGGGTTCAAATGAGAAACATGCAATAGTGAAGAATATAGGATTGGTTGTTTTAGATCTAGGAGGACAGCTAGAACAAATGACAAGAGGATGGGAAGAAAAATGTGTGTGAGATGATAGCATTTTTGTCTATTTAAAGATAAGAGAGTAAGAATGAGTGAATTAAGACCATTGAAATAGGTAGGGGGAAGCCAAATTGGTTGGGTGCCCTAGAAGGAGTTGATACTCAATGCAATTGGTGTTATGAAGTTAATTCAGCATGCTTGGGGAAAGGCTAGATGGAATCAGGGAATGATACAAGAAGATTATGGTGCACATCATGAGTTCACCAAAACCTTTTTGAGAGGTTTTCATTGTCTCATAGCAATATCGAGTGCTATAAATATATACCGGGTTGCTATAAATAAATATGACTTTTGCCTAAGGTCCCATAATGACATAGCTATGATGAGTACTCAAACATCTTGACTTCTCAGGCCATTACTTGGATTGACTTTATTGAAAAGGATGCAAGGGCTTAGCAGCTTTTCTTTTACAGAAAGAATCTCCATCCTTTTTGTGATAAGCTCTGTGATACCCTATGATAAGGGAAGCAAAACAATTCCCAGGTGGTAAGGAATGAGGGTACAGAGAGGGCTGACAGTGAAGACCCTGAGTTCCAGGGAGTATAGTGGAATATACCATTCCCCTTACTGCTGGAAATCCCAGAAAACCAGGGAGAGGCCATTGAAGTAGCCATACCAAACTTAGAGATGAGCCAATAGCTTCCAACAACCTTAGCAGGAGCCCATCCAGCTGAATCAGAATGCTCTTGACTCTGCTTAAGTTATTATTGTTATTGTTCTTAAAGAAAAGCACCTACATTTCCTCTTTTTTTTGTGTGTTTCAGATGATTATTTACTGTTCTGCTAATGAATACAAAGTTGCCATAAATGGAGCCCACGTCTTGGAATACAAATATAGATTTAAGGAGCTTGACAAGATTGACACTCTGAAGATCAGTGGAGACATTGATTTATTAGATATAAGGAGCTGGTAGTTGGAGCCACAAGAACAGAATCAAAACATGGTTTATGTAGTGGGGGGCTTTCAAGAGTTATCACTGAAACATAACTTAGACTGGAATAGGGAAAAGAAATCTGTGGCAAAGGGGACATTATAGCCACTCCTGGTGTTATTCTGACTCACTCCCCACCACAGATTCCTCTTCTCCCACTTTCTTTTTCCCATTTGCCCACCTCCTCCCTCCTTTCTTCCCATTTCCTTGGGCATTGTTTAACTGTACTGGTACAATCCATGGTTAAAAAAAGGATTACTAAAGTCTATTCTAAAGGAATCCAAAACCTAGTCTAAGCTGAACTATATTTATAGAATCTGACTTAAAAGTTGCCAATAATCTGATGCTCTAGTTTTGGCTTACCATGAGGCATATAGAATACATTTAACAGCTAACTGTACCAAAAAAAAAGAAGAAGAAGAAAGAGAAAGAAAAAAGCATGACTTGTAGCTAATTCCTTTGTCATAATACCCATTTAGATTGTACAATAGCCTTAAACAATTCATCCATTACATAGACAAGT